TTTAAATATTTTGATCAAGGTCCTTAGCATCATTTAAGAGACTTATCTCATGCATTTATGCATTTAATGTCCCACAAATTATGAAATCTAAACAAATTCAAATAATTTTTTAAAATATAATAAATAGTTAAAAATCAATTTTAGAGTAATATTGTTCTTCACAAAAAGTATAGCAAAAAAAAAAATAATAATAATGTACCCACATAATAATTAACATATTTTTTAAAATAACTACTGATATATTCTAAAATATATAATAAATACATATAATTAGCATGGGTACATTTAGAAAATTTTAAAATGGCTACAAATAAATTAAAAAGATGGGTACAAAAACAAATAAAAGTTTAAAAAAATATGGGCACAAAAAGGAATTAATATATGGGTACAAATTAAAAAAGGGTTGCAAATTAAAAATGGGTACAAACTAAAAATAAAAGTGTATGATAAAAAAATTTAGCCATAAATATGAATATATCAAGTATAACATTTCTAACACTAAATGAATATATTTAGAAATAAAAATTATTTTATTATTGGAATAATTAATAACGTTTATTAAAATCTAAGGACTTTGATAAAAAAATTGTAACATCCCACATCGACCAACAGAGAGAGGGTGATGTGCCATATATGGGTGCGTTTGGTACGCAGACGGGACGGAACAGGACGGGACGGGACGGGACGGGACGGGACGGGACGGAACGGGACGGGACGGGACGGAACGAAGGTGTAATTTTTGAAAAAGACATGGGTATATTTGTCTTAAAATGGTAAAACATTGTGTTCCACAGACGTGGAACAAACCCGTTCCAGGGGGTGGAGGTGGGACGCAAAAACACCCAAAATCTGTCCCGTGGAACAGCCCGTTCCACCCATTTTTGACGCACCAAACGCGGGACGGAACGCCTCGTCCCGTTCCGTCCCGTCCCGTCCCACGTACCAAACGCACCCATGTCCACCTCCATATGGCACGAGGCATTTTGGGAACTCACTGACTTCGAGTTTCATCAGAAATCCGAAGTTAAGTGAGTTCGGTCGAGATTAATTATCGCATGGGTGATCAAATGGGAAGTTCTCATCTGAGTTCCCAGAAATAAAACAGTGAGGGGGTGGCCAGAGCCCAAATCGGACAATATCGTGTTACGACGAAGTCAAGAGTTGGATGTGACAAAAATTGAAAAGGAATAAGATTTTAATAAAAAAATTCTATATATTATATGTGGTGGTGGCCTCATGTAAACTATAATATTATTTAGTTCTTCGCCCCAACAGTCTATTTTTTCAACGGTTGGAAAGACTCATAAAGACATTTTAATCTTTCCCTAACCACCATCATGTAACTTATGAGCACCAAAAATCAAACTCATGACATACTGTGTGAAATTCATTCCCAACTAATAGAACATCCGGTGATGGTTTAATATTATTTAGTTTCTATTTGTAATTATTGCGCACATCAATTTTGTTTTCATGACTTTGGCATTGCTTGGTTTTCTTTTAATTTAATAACTAAATTGTAGATGTGCCAACGTAAGTACATAACTGAAGGTTTGGGTCTAATAATATAAATTTGTACTTGAGTAATAAATTTGAATATTTATTTTATAATATTTTAGGTATATTTAATTTTTTGTATATATTTTCAACACTATATTCATGTCATATCGTGTTTTTATTTTAAAATTTGATATATCTTCGTTGTATCATGTTGTATCTCTGTGTTCATTTCCATACAATGTATTAGCCTTAAATAAGAGAGGACTAGCTAGAGTGAAACTATGGGGGTTTTAAACTTTTAATTTTATACATGCAGAAATTTACTGTAAATCATTCCTGATGGCTACTAGCTAGTACTGGTAATACTTTTCAAACTTCAAGACTTGCAATTTTCTCCAGTCGCCAAGAAAAAATGAAATTATAATTGTTGTTGGAAAGCCAAGTCCAATTTGGTTTCGACTGATTAATGTTAATTATTAAAGGGACATTTGACAAAGACGTTTTGTTTTCAATTTTAATTTTGTTTAATAAAATTAAAAATTAAAAAAAACTCGTTTAATTACTATTTGTTTTTTCAATATTGAAAATTGAATTAGTTACTAAACGAATTTTTAATTTTTGACAAAAATAAAAACTGAAATATTGTCCAACGACCATGTAAGTAAACTAAGTTGAAATCCTATCATAAACTAATTGGTAATATAAGAAGTACCCAAATTAATCTTTCCTAGTAGCTAGTACTGGTAATACTTTTCAACTTCAAGACTTCCGATTTTCTCCGGCCCAAGGCCAAGAAAAATGAATTAAAATTGTCGTTGGAAGGCAAGTCCAATTTGGTTTAGACTAATTAAGATTAATTATTAAACTAAAAACAAAATATTAAAATTAGTTATCAAACATGAACATGCAAAGTCACTTATTTCTTCGATGTAGAATTCATATTTTCAACATGCTCCTTCACGTATAGCGAATTTTTAAACCTTACAGGTAGACAATACAAATCGGGTGACTGGAGCAAGTGTAGCCATTAGACTTCACATACGGGACAACTTGCTCTGATATCATGAAGAAATTTGAGATTTCACCATAACACTAATTGACAATGAAGAATAATACAATTACTTATAAGCACATACAACATTTTTTTTTTTCGTGTGTAAAATTCATACTCTCAAAACTAAAGACTACATGAAAGCAAAGACAATTCTGTTTGAATAGTCTTAGGTTAGGGTTTATGGCCATGTACATTAATTAATTTGACTAATCAACACATGCTGAAGTTTGACATTAGAGTTAATTATGCTAGTGTCTCTTTTGCAGCACTCTTTCGATCTGTCTCCAGATTATGTACGACAAATTTCTATGTTCATAGTTTTGATTGTAGCTAGCTCAGAACTCATGCATGATTGAATATTCGTTTTATGAGTTTTTTTTTTTAATAAACGATATTATCTATATTAAGGGGAATGAGATAAGCTTAATTTCACAACAGGCTAGCCATTAAAAATGTATTAGAAGAGTGTTTCTGAAACTTAGGCTAAATTTGGGAAGCTCTTGGACATTGCCTATCCAAAAATATATTCTTAGATCCACCACTGGTAGTAATTACCAATATTGTTAAATTGTCATGGAATGGCTTCAACCTGTCACAAATATATCGCAGCAAAACTTTTCCAGCAAGCATATAAAAGCCTTACACTAGACCAGTTTAGAACCACCCCAGGCACTTTTCAGCTAACAAATCCACACCTTGTTCCTTGGCAGTAGTGACTGCAGATCTACCTCAACATCTTCTAAAACATATCAAACGACAACTTCTTCAGAATGTCCCGTGGCAACGGATTCCCCTCGCATCCGAAACCAACACTTTGAAATGGAAATGGAAGTGCCTTATGACTATCAAACAAATACTGGATTTTTATTGTCCCGAAAGGGAAGGGTTGTGAAAAGAAGTTGCTTCATAAACAGTGAAAAGACTAACAGTACGAGTTGAGAGTTGTCCCACATTGATGAGGGACAAGGTTTAGTATGTGCTTATATGGTCTTGGGCTACTCCCTATATTGCCAATTGGTTTTATGGTGGAACCCCAATTTTATCATGGTATCTGAGCAAGGTTGTCCACGTGTGAAGCCCAATGGCCACACGCGCTCCACGTCACCTAGTTGTTGTCCACGTGTAGGCTTGAAAATCCGCCACAAGTGCGGGGCGTGTTGAGAGTTGTCCCACATTGGTGAGGGACAAAGTTTGCTATGTGCTTACATGGTCTTGAGCTACTCCCTATATTGCCAATTGGTTTTATGGTGAAATGGACAAAGTTTGCTATGTGCTTACATGGTCTTGAGCTACTCCCTATATTGCCAATTGGTTTTATGGTGAAACCCCAATTTCATCGGTACAAATGACAATAAAAGTTACATATCCGCGGACACACGCTTGCATGTGTAAAACCATTTGTGAATGACAATGACTTATACCGAGAGTCCTTGAGAGAGTAGTTGACTTGGCAATCAAGTTGATGAAATCTTCCATGATTCTTGGAGCCTTAAAGAAGTAAATATATTGGTGTCCTAACATCTTGCAGTCAGTTTAGGGTCCTTTCATTAAGAGAATATAAGGTAAATGAGTCATGATAGGACTCTGATTGTACCGAGAAGATTAGGGTGAATATTCTTTCCATTAATAGGTTGGAATTGATAGAAACCCTAGGTATATAATCAAGAAGCAGTCCCTGCTTCCATACCGCCGAGTCTCTGAGCACTACAAACCTATTTCGTTAGTTGAGATCATAAAAGAGGTATTGGAAGTAGAAGGCTGTTTTCCATCTCGCACTAGAAGCGGCTATGGCATCAGGTAAGTCTTTCACATTCGTATGCATGCATGTCGATAATGCCATGCAGTGTTCGTATGCAGGATTGGCTGCATATTGTTCTTTTGAATATTGTTCCTTTTGTAATCCTAATACATGCTGTTAAGTTCTTGGGATATTTCTACAGCATGTACAAGTGTGAAGGGAGCCTCGGAGTAGGCATGACTTCTACTAGGGTTGCCAGGTAAGTGACCATTCCTGGATTTTCCGACATGTCAATCTCCTCTGAATTCACTCCTTTGGGCGGAGCCCAACTGAAATGGTGCAACAGATGACCCAACACGGGGGTAACCAAGTTAACACCAAGTTGAGCTCTGGGACATTCTCGCCTGCTTGCTCCAAAGGGAAGTAGTCTAAAATCATGGCCTTCCGTGTCAACATCTTCCTCAAGGAGCCTTTCCGGTCGAAACTCATTTGGATTTTTCCAAATAGCGGGGTCGCGTGCTATAGCCCAAACATTAACATGAACATTCGAACCCTTGGGGACGTCGTAGCCACCAATCTTAACATTGGCCTGGGCTCTCAGTCGTTGTCCACGTGAGCACCACGTCACACGTTAACATAAGTTCCCACGGAAAGTTGAACGGATGTATGAAAGTGTCTCACAATTCTCAAATTAGGTATACATTGGGATGAAAAAAACTTGATGTGTAAAAACTTGAAAACCACGATACATCATGATAGTGAAATAAGAATTACCCAAAACCAATATGTTGACATGATGAGAATTAAGCATATCATGCATATGAATCGTTCCCAACATAACAAGACGTGGATTAGTCCAACTTATTAGGACTTTTTCCGTCCCTTTGCATCAATGTTAAAATTCTTCATTGTAGATACTAGAGTGGTTTGAAATACATATCGGATTAAAACATTACAGCCTACACTTTTCCGGCAAGCATAAATACCTTGGCAGTAACTTTTCTGACCAAGTTAGGGTCACCCCAAGCTCTTTGAAGGTTTTCAATCACCTCTTGTGATAACAAATCCACACCTTGATCTTTAGCTTTATTGAATGCAGAGGATGACCTGAACATCCTCATCACCCCTTCAAATGACATCTCCATTGGCATTTCCAGTGGCACAGGCTGACCTTCAGAACCCAAACCGACACTTTCAAATGGAAATGGAAGTGTCCTATACCCTTCCCACACGTACTCCGTCTTCGGGTCCCAAAAGGGTTTACTTGCTTCACGAAAATGCTTCAATAAATCGTCATGTTCGGGGTCTGTCACGATGGCATTGTAGCTCCAAACTGCAATTATGCCTCCTGGCTTACGCAAAACGCGCTTGACGACCGAGTAGAACTTTGGGAGGTCGAACCAGTGCACGGCCACTGCCACGGTCACCAAATCAACTGAGTCTTCACCCCCTATTAACTCAACCAAATCGTCGTCAGACATGGTCATTGGAGTGTGAACGTAACGAACTCGAGGATGTTGGAGTGCCAGCTTCAATTGGGACTCACTTATATCACTTCCTATTACTTGCTCATAATGCTCTCCAAGCTGCAAAAGTAAAAACACACATCACAAAATTGAGTACTCTTATTTTCTACAGTGCACCGTTGTAGGTGATTCATCGGTGTTGGATTTGAGTGTCAAAATCTAGTCGTCTAATACAGCGGTGCATTGTGGAATTTTTGGAAATTAAGAGGAGTACTAACAGAGAAAGCAGCTTGGCCATTGCCAGTGCCGACATCCCAAGCTAAGGAGTGATTTGGTGTGAGAGCGGCCAGCATGGAAAACCATTCCTTGGGATAAGTTGGCCTTGCTTCCAAGTAAAGCTCTGCCTGCTTGTCGAATAAACCTGCCATTTCTTTTACTTCTGTAATTTTTAGCCGTCAATAAAAGAGGACTACCTAATGAGGAAGAGTGAAATTACATGGGTTTTAAACTTCTAATTTATACATGCAGAAGCTAGTACTGGTAACAATTTTCAACTTCAAGACTTCCAATTTTCTCCAGCCCAGGGCCCAGGCCAAGAAAAAATAATCAAATTGGTTGTTGGAAGCCAAATTCCAATTTGGTTTCCACTAATTAATCTTGACTATTAATAGGACTTATGATAACTATTTTTTTAATTTTGTTTAGAAAAAATACAAGCCGAAAATTCATTTGATAACTACTTTCAGTATACTGTTTTTTGTTTTCAGTATTGAAAATTAGAACTAGTTAGTGAATGAGTTTTTAATTCAAAAGAAATGACAACTTAAATAATTATCAAATGAGGACCCTAAGTAAAAGAAGTTAAAATTCTATCGTAAAACAAATTTAATAATATGAGAGTAACCCAATTAACTCTACATCTTTCCTAGTAGCTAGTACTGGTAATACTTTTCAACTTCAAGACTTCCATTTTCTCCGGTCTAAAGGCCAAGTAAAAACAAATTAAAATTATTGTTGGAAAGCCAAGTCCAATTTGGTTTCGACTAATTTATTTTAATTACTAAATGGGGCTCTATGCGAAGGAAGTTGAGGTTCATACTCAGACACCTTAACGTATGATGAATTTTCAAGCTTAATACGTGAATAACATAAATCGATTGACGTGGAACACGTGTGTTTATTGGCTTCACACGCATGACAACACACTACTCTGATACTATTAAGGAAGTTGATGTTCCATTGTAAAACCAATTGGCAATATAGAGAATAATCTAATTACTTATAAACACATGCAAGATTCCTTCTTTCCTCGACTGTGAGATTCATACTCCAACACTAAGTACTACTGGAAAGCAAAGACAATTCTCTTCTCTTTGAAGAGAAAAACTTGTATGGGGCTTGACTTGCCACTGGACTTCGCTGAGTGGCACTACAATCCACTTAAAACTCGTCACGTGGCAAGTCTTAAATATAATCTTTTATCATTATTTTATATTTAAAATTTTTAAAATTATTTTTTAACTAATTAATATATTATATATATTAATGTTATGTTTCCTTTTTTATTTCTTTCCCCCTATTTTTTTTCTTCCCAAATCCCCCCACACTTGTTGTTTTGCCGTAGGTCTTAGGACTCCCTCCCCTTTCTTTCATTCCCAGTTTTGTTTCTTTCTTTCTTTAAAAAAAAAAAAAAAGTTATGCACCCACTCCATTTTTATCATGGAAAGCAACCAAGAATCTATAAGTTTCTTTTCTTTCTTTATACAATAAAACTCTGATCAAAACATTAGCTGTTAAAAAACTCTGATCATATTATAAATATAAAAAACCAAAAACCATCACCCTCACCCAAAAATCCCCAATTAAAAGAAAAGAAAATAACCCTAATATAGCTATATATGTGGGTTATTCATGTCACATGATCAAAGCAAATATTGTATAAAGAAAGAAAAGAAACTTACAGATTCTTGGTTGCTTTCCATGATAAAATTGGAGTGGGTGCATAATTTTATTTTATTTTTTTTTTATTTTAAAGAAAGAAACAAACAAAACTGGAAAAGAAAGAAAGGGGAGGGAGTCCTAAGAGCAACTCCACCCATGGAGCCCTCCCCCTGGCAAATCCACCATTTTGAACAGTATATGCCTTTAATAAATAGTAACTGCCATAAATGAACAGTAATTGTCATTTGCATCTCCACCCTTGGAGCCCTCCCCCTGGTAATGGACAATTAAAATAATAGTTTTTTTTGTTTGTTTAAATAATACAAAATAAAATTATTTGTAATTTCGGATAAGAATTCTTAAATCGTTATCGTTGCGTCACGTGTCATTTTATCCAAAAAAACAATTATTTAGCGAATGATTTCGATAAGATTTTTATCCAATGTTATCGTGTCATATGTCGTTATCTTTTCAAAATCTTTGGTAAAAATAAATAATTTTTTATACATTAAAAATATTATAATATTAATCCAATTAAAAATAAATTAAAAAAAAAAAAAAAAAAAAAAAACAGAAACCCGAACCCAGATCCATTTCTTCCACCTCTCCTCCCACCCCGAGAACCCCCTGCAAAAACCAGAACCCAGCTACCTCCCCCCCCCCGCCCACGACGACCCACCCCCACCCCCCGCCCCCGCGACGACCCACCCTCCCCCCTGCGACGACCCACTTCCCTTCCGCACCCATGGAAGCCCAGCTCCGGTCCCCCCCTCTCTCTCTCTCTCTCTCTCTGACACAAAACAAATCTCCGGTCCCCCTCTCTCTCTCTCTCTCTCTCTGACACAAAATAAAAAATAAAAAATTGCAAAGCCCTCGGGCCACAGGCCCGTCGACTCCCCACCCCCCCTTCGCTCGGGCTCCCACTGTCGCTCGGGCTCCACACGGCTGGAGCTCAGTCCACAGGGCCTCGGGCCCTTTCCTCTCCACTGTCCCCCGACCAACCAGCAAGGCTGGAGTTGCTCTAAGACCTACTACGGCAAAACAAAGTGTGGGGGGATTTGGGAAGAAAAGAAAATATGGGGAAAGAAATAAAAAAGGAAACATAACATTAATATATATAATATATTAATTAGTTAAAAAAATAATTTTAAATATTTTAAATATAAAATAATGATAAAAGATTATATTTAAGACTTGCCACATGGCGAGTTTTAAGTGGATTGTAGTGCCACTCAGCGAAGTCCAGTGACAAGCCAAACCCCATACAAGTTTTTCTCCTCTTTGAATGGTCTAAGGTAAGGGTTTGTGGCCATGTATCCAAATTAATTTGACTAATCAATACAAGTTTGACATTAGAGTTACTGATGCAAGTGTCTCTTTTGCAGCACTCTCCTGATCTATCTCCAGATTATGTACAACCAGTTTCTAAGTTCATAGTTTTGATTGTAGCTAGCTCAAAACTCATTCATGATCGAAGATTCGTATTATGGTTGTAGCTAGCTCATGCGTTTCTTTTAATTGGCCATAATGTTATGTTTGGATGAGGAACTTTCAAAAGCTCAAAGCATTTTAGACCCGATTTTTGAAAATGCATTAGAAGAGCATTTCTGGAACTTAGGCTAAATTTGGGAAGCCTTTGAATGTCACCTACCAAAAATAAATTCCTAGATCCGTCACTAGTAGATAGTGACTAAAAATATTGTTAAATTGTTATGTAATGGCTTGAAACTGTCACAAATACATCAGGCCAATTTAGAACCACCCTAAAACACTTTAGCTACCTTTTCAGCTAACAAATCCACACCTTATTCATTGGCTGTAGTGACTGCAAATCATAACCTCAACATCTTCTAAAACATGTCAAACAACTTCTTCGGAATGTCCAGTTGCAACGGATTCCCCTCGCATCCGAACCAACACTTTGAAAAGGAAATGGAAGTGTCTTATGACTATCAAACACATACGGGATTTTTATTGTCCCAATAGGGAAGGGTTGTGAAAAGGAGTTGCTTCGTATCGGATCAAGTGCTAGAACAATAACAATACGAACGATAATAAAAATTACATATTCGCCGCCACTCGCTTGTACAAGTGTGAAGGGAGCCTCGGAGTAGGCACGACTTGGACTGGGGATGCCATGTAAGTGACCATCCCTGGATTTTCTGACAAGTCAATCTCCTCTGGTTTCACCCCTTCGGGAGGAGCCCAACTGAAATGGTGCAACAGATGGCCCAGCATGGAGGTAACCAAGTTGATACCAAGTTGAGCTCCGGGACACACTCTCCTGCCTGCTCCAAATGGAAGTAGTCTAAAATCATGGCCTTTCATGTCAACATCTTCCTCTAAGAACCTTTCCGGTCGAAACTCATTTGGGTTTTTCCAGACAGCGGGGTCACGCGCTATAGCCCAAACATTAACATGAACATTCGAACCCTTGGGGATGTCGTAACCACCAATCTTGACATCGGCATTGGCTCGGTGGGGGAGCATTAGTGGTGTTGGAGGGTGCAACCGCAGTGCTTCCTTTGCTACACATTGTAGGTAAGGGAGGTTTGAGAAATCATTTTCTGTCATGACCCGTTCGTGCCCAATAACCCGATCTAGCTCCTCCCGAGCCTTTTGTTGCACCCTCGGGTTCTTAATCAGCTCAGCCATGGCCCATTCAACTGAAATTGCTGTGGTGTCTGTACCGGCAGTCATCATATCCTGAGCAAATCCCTTCATTAGTCTCGAATGTAAGAAAAGAATGCGCCATGATTATCTCAGAGTGATAACAATAGTTCGGTTATCTAATCAAAAGGAAGATGAAAGCATAAAAACAAGCGACCGAGTGCAAAACATACAAACGAGAGCAAAAATTAATCCCCACTTTTTAGCAACAAAGCAGGAAATTAAGAACATATTAATGTATACTTACCCAAAGAAGTCCAATAATAGTGTCCATACTTAGGTCATACTTGTCCTTCAAGGTAAACAATGCATCCACAAAGTGGCTCTTAGCAACGCCACCCTTGGAGCGTGCCAGAGCGTGTTCGTCCATGATTTCCTTGGTGAGTCTGTCTCTGTTTGCTCCGTGTCGAGCAAACGCCTCTTCGTCAAACGGGCATGCCCAACGCAACCAAGAAATGTGCTCAGCCACCGAGAGCGATCCGCCTATCTTCACTCCGTTGGCAATAAGAGCTCTGAATCTTTTCCCTTGCTCATCAGTTATTTCATCAGAGCTGATGAAACGTTTCCCAAATGCTAGCCTTGTTATGTTGTTGAAAGCCACGTTTCCCAAATACTTCTTCACTGCCAAACTTTTCCCATGGTTTTCTGTAATATGGTGAATAAATTGTTAACAACAATCAGTTAATTGGTACAAGGACGAGTTTGCAATGCATTTACCGGAAAGGGAGCCCTTCCTCCTAATCCATATATTCAGAATCCGGACTGTTGAAATTTCATCTAATGGTTACAAACATGATTCACTTTAAAAATTATAATAACTTTAATCGTTGAATCAAATTTCAACAGCTCGAATTGAATTAAATTTCAACGGCTTGAATCCTCAAA